TAAAATAATAAAAATAAAAAATTTTAACTTTTGAGGATATAATTGTCATTTTAGAAGGATATAATTGGCATTTTAGAAAATTGGGGAGGTAGAGGAAGAGACGTGTGAGGGTGGAGGGAGTAACACCCTACAGTGTGAATTCGATAGAAGTAATGCAAAATTAGGCCCATAAATACACTACTAGCAAACAAATAATATTTCCTTCATTAAAAAAGTAATATAATAGAGTTGGTGTTCGTAACAGTGACTATTAATCACTGATATAGGGGTGGGTACCCACAGTGATAATGGTAGTTGTTCATAAAGTGTATATATTATTTTGAATTAGAGTTTCTTTATTTAATTATATATAACATAAACACATTTTAATACGTGTTGTTTTTTATTAAATTTAGAATACATAATATTTTGATACAGTAAAAAATTCACACGGTCAAAATATTCTCAACAAAATTTATATTCCAATCCTTATTAACATGATAAATAAAGTCTAACATTTTTTAGAAATAAAGCTAATTTATAATACAGTGAGATATAAATCTTATCTTATAAATCGATTATGTGATATTGAGTTAGGTTTAAAATTTATTTTTTAATAAATTTTGAATAAATATTTTTTTTTATCTATTGTCGTACCATCCAATTTTTATTATGATAAAATATTTTATATTTTAATATGAAGAGTGACTAATTTATAATATATAAGTAAAATTTCTCCTCATAAATGGGTTTTATGAATTTGATATAAAAATAATAAACTTGGATTTAGCAGAAAAGTTTGAGCTTAGATAATTCTTTCATGTTCTGGCAAACAGCAAGGTTTCATAAGAACAGAGCTCATTTGGAGGTAGCTTTTACCACTTCTTAAGGGTTTATTGCGTGTTTTCTCTGTTGTCGACCCATCAAATTGAAACAGACAACGTTGGGCAACGTTGTCAATGGTCACTCATTCATTATTTATAGATTCATCACCAACAACTTCGGTTCCTAACTAGCCCTTTTGGATTTTTCGTTCTCCTCGCTGTAACGACCCGTCCCCTGTCATCTTGTCTCTGACAGGAGCGGCACGTGTCCCGCATGGTGAACTCGTTTTCAGTCACTCGTTAAGACTCTGGGTAGATCGCGTACATACAGGGAAGAAACATGGAGCGGGAGAAAACAAACATGGCATCTCCTCTGCTGGAGCCTGCGCCTTCAAAGAGGGCTTCCAAGCTTCAAACTTTGGGAAACATCATAGTCACTGTTGTCGGAACTGGAGTTCTTGGATTACCCTTTGCTTTTCGGATCGCTGGGTGGGTCGCTGGCTCGCTTGGGGTTGCTGTTGTCGGCTTATCCACTTACTATTGCATGCTTCTTCTCGTGGGTGATTCAATCGTTGCACAGAAATCTCTTTTTTTTCCTTTATTTTAATATGATAGAGCACAGTACTTTATCCTCATCTAACAGTTACGTATATTTCACCTTTTGAATAATTCCTGCTCATAAGATGTGTTAAAAGGCAGTGTAAAAGCTAAATTTTCGATTTTTTTCTTTCTTCTTGGTTTTGGGACAGAGGGTATTATGAATGATTGTATATTGGCCATTGATTATTGCTTTTTTTTCCCGTACATAAATGGATACAATAATGATCCCTTTTATACCTTTTTATTGTGGGATGCACTGTGCCATTGACTTGCTGAAAGGAAAAGAAAATAAAGGGCGTTAACTAATGTTACTGGGTACATGTTTTATTTTGTGATTGCTGTTCCTGCCTTTTTAAGGTTTTGTTTTTATTTGTTGGGCACAGGTTAATTGCAGAGACAAATTGGCGTCTGAAGAGCCACTGGGGGAATCAAACACATATGGAGACTTGGGTTATAGGTCTTTTGGAACCCTAGGTCGGTTTGTGACAGAAGTTATAATTGTGGTAGCACAATGTGCTGGATCTATTGCTTATTTTGTGTTTATTGGACAAAACCTTCATTCTGTATTTGAAGGCCAGAACATATCAATGGCCTCCTTCATATTTATGTTGGTACCTGTTGAGATTGGATTGGCTTGGATAGGGAGCTTATCTGCTTTGGCACCTTTCAGCATTTTTGCTGATGTTTGCAATGTCTTGGCTATGGGAATTGTGGTGAAGGAGGACGTACAACGGGCCTTCGGGGAGGGGTTTTCATTCGGAGAAAGGACAGCAATCACATCCAACATTGGGGGATTGCCATTTGCAGCAGGCATGGCAGTGTTTTGTTTTGAGGGGTTTGGAATGACACTGGCTCTAGAGAATTCTATGCAGGATAAACGTAAGTTCCCAATATTGCTTGCTCAGACTTTTGGTGGGATAACTCTTGTGTACATTCTTTTTGGTTTTTGTGGTTACATGGCTTTTGGTGAAGAAACCAGAGACATTGTGACCCTCAATCTCCCAAGGAATTGGTCATCTCTTTCAGTGCAGGTAGTAAAGACATCCACACTTCAAGCTCTTCAGTTAATCTGAAATAGTTTTCTTGCTGTTGTTAGCTAATCAATATCGATCTATTTCCTCTCTTTTCTTTTCTTTTCTTTTCTTTGTTCTGTTCCTATACCAGTTTAATTTAGAATTTTCAAAGAAAGGAAGCATCTGATTGCATTTGTCATTGACATGGACTTCTCTGTGAATTAATCACATGCTCACTATTCCAGTAGGCTTGTTGTCATTGCAACTTCAGAAAACACTTGGAATAGCAACATAGAATTGATATGACTTGGTTGAATCTGTTTGAAACCCTATTGCTGGAAGGTGTTTGATAACATCTGATGATGATATAATATAATTATGACTTTCAGTTTGTGTCAGTTAATCTATTTTACATGAAATCATCATTCCTTAATCACATACACATCCCATATTGTAATTTTTCCTTAGACATGTCTACTACCGTAGTACAGTTTGCAGAATACCATTTCAGATGGCATGAAAAGCCAAGGCCGGACTCTATTATCTTAAAATTTTTTGTTGTATTTGTATAACATTTTGTATGATGGCAGGTAGGATTATGTGTTGGGCTTGCATTCACACTTCCAATCATGTTACACCCAATTAATGAGATTGTGGAAGGGAAACTCAAAATCATTTTCAGAAACAACAATGATTCAACGGGACCAGGAAATATCTGCATATGCATCAGCCGAGCGATTGTGGTGGTTGGACTGGCAGTGATAGCTTCATTCGTGCCAGAATTTGGTGTATTTGCCTCATTTGTGGGGAGTACCTTATGTGCAATGCTCTCATTTGTTTTGCCAGCCACATTTCACCTAAAGCTACTTGGCTCTTCTCTACCCTTCTGGCGTAAAGCCTTAGATTTTATTGTATTATTTTCTGGATTATTTTTTGCCATTTATGGAACTTACAACACAATAGTTGGAGTTTGATGTATAAACATGTATTTTACTTAGTAGAGATTTCTGCACAACTCAATTCATTGTTTTTAAGCGTTAGAACCTTCCGCACAATCGTCTGATTCAGAGTTCTCGAGTGAGTTGTCCTCCTTTTTGCTATTTTCAGTCCCACAGAGCCCTAATTGTCCTTTACCAAATTGTAAATTGACTATTCTTTTAATCTATAAAAAGGAAAAGGGAGAGGGAGGTTCAAAGCATCACTTTCTTGACTCATGGATAACATTTTTTCTGAACTCAACTAGTTTAGTATTTGAAATGACTGATTACATGGATTGTTTGTAATGGATGGGAAGAAGTAAACTATAATGGACTTGAGTATTAACTTTTGTAGGTGAAGGTTTTTAGCTAAGGTAACACTGCAAGGCATTACAAATAAATAAATCTGAAGCAAAATTAATGTACAATTTGGCTTATGTCGTAATAAAATTGTAGCAGCCGCTTGCAGCTAGAATTGGAATAATAAATCCATTTCACGTTGCCACTAATACATTGCATCACTTAAAAGTAGACACGTTTATCATAGTTGTTCGAGACAAAAGACTCATATTTGGTTTGTATTCCAAGTAATACCTTTGTTTATGTTGATTGGCATAAACTCCCAAAGTAAATGTTAAAGTAAACAACCCCCTATAATAAAAGACCAACTACGACATGATCAGTTGTTGGTGAAGGGAATCAATCAGCAAAAGTGAAAGTGAAGGCTGCTATTGATTTCTATTTTAAATTTTTGTTGTAGAAGTGGAAGAGGGTTGTTTTTCCTTAGTCTGGTACATTCTTGTGACATCCATAATTGTTAAATATTATAATATCTCTGTTTTTTCTTATGCTACTTTGTATATTAAACTTTCTAGAAATCTTTCATAAATCTTTCAAAATATATAATCTGAGATTAAATTTTAAACAAATCTTCTAATTATATAATCTGAAAAAATAAAATTGTGACCCGATAACATAATTTATAATTATAAAATTCAAAATCCGGATTGAATTTTCAAGAAAAATCACACCTCAAATTCTGAAACAGTTAATTCAAATTTTTTTTATCTTGAAACTGTCGATTTGAAAATGTTGCTTATTCCCGAAGGGTTGTTTCGTTTTCTTTTTCCATTTCAGAAGAGTTGACCTGGGAAAAAGAGTTGCGAAAATTTTTTTGCTACAGAAAATTTTAAAAAGTTCGTGTGCAATCTACACGTATTAAGAACAGAAAATTAAATATAGAACATTGCCAAGAATGTCCTAGATCCACCGAATCTTCAGAAACCAGAAAAATTGTCAATTAATCAATTTTCAAATGATTTTAATAAATGCAGGTAAAAGGGCAACGAATTACAGAACAATACCAAAATCATTGTTCTCAGAGAAAAGCTTACTCTACCAAAGTCACAATGTTAAGACTAAGTTTAATCAAGAATTTCTATCCAAAGTGCTCCTAAGATCCAAATCGAGATAATAGTGTCACAAGTTCACAACAATAGCGACCACCATTTTCAAGATTCTAATGATAAGCAGTCGACACCCTTTTTAAACTTTTAAGAGATTTTTAACTTTTAAACAGCAAATGATGCAGTAGGAATAGCCAGCTATTAATGGAAGCCAAATCATATATTAATCCATAATTCATATATTAAGACAATCATACTTCAATCTTGAAAACTTAGATTAAAAACAACAAAATTCAGACCATAATTCGAATGGAAACAGATTTAAAACAAAAAGATAGGCTCATATAACCCTTAGCATCCACTAACTACCACAAAAACCAAATCACTGTTTTGATGTAAACCATCTAGCGCAATCTTCTTGCTTCCCTCTCAGATTCGAGTAGGGTGAGAATGTCTCCTTCTCTCACAGGTCCTTTCACATTCCTCATGATGTGACGATTCTGATCATCCAAAAACTTCACTCTAACCTGCGTAACCTGCCCTCTGGATCCAGTACGACCCATAACTTTAACAACAAGAGCATGCTTCACCTGAGACTCCATCCTGCTCATACACAAAACAAAGCTTTTGAGACGAAAGTGGACACAATTGGGTTTATTGCATAACATATAATCAATGTGTGTATGACAGATAAACCATAATAATCCCAACAGAAAATAAAAATTGAATAATAATGCAAACTAACATGAAATGCCAAAAATATATCCACAGATTCACATAAAAGCACACGACTATCCCTGAGATTAGATAAAGAATAAATAAATATTTACATCACGCACAGAGAGGAAAAAAGAAAATCTAGTCCAGCAATAATATAAATAACAAATTTTCACCAAATATATGTAGGCTCTGTTCCACAAATTATACATAAGATCTACCAAATATATGTAGGCTTTCGTTGGACGAGGGCTAAACGAATGTTAAATTCAACATAAGACCCACCAAACATTTGACGATTTTGAACAGTACATGATTTCCGAAGGTGAACTTCCAAACGAAGAAGATTAAGGAATATAACAAATGACAAAAAGTATATAAATGAGTAAATCCAACTTAGCTTTTGTTAAACCATTCGGGTATACGCAAATTTACCAAACAAGCCACAAACTTGCCTAAAA